GGGAAAACTGGTGGAGATTATAGAAACCAGTCGCTGTTGAGTTGATTCTGGCTCATGGCGACCCCAAGTGTGTCAGAGTAGAACTGTGCTCCATAGGGTTTTCAATGGCTGATTATTTAGAAGTAGATCACCATGTCTTTCTTTCAAGGCACCTGTGGATGGCCTTGAAGCTCCAACCTTTCAGTTAATAGCTGAGCGTGTTAACCTTTGCACCACCCAGTAACCATGGAGATGATTTTTGTTAAGTATTGTCGAGTTGATTTCCACTCAAAGCTAAAACACGCGACAGAGTAGAACTGCCGCATAGGGTTTTCTAGGCTGTAATCTTTACGGGAAGAGATCACCAGGTCTTTTTTCCCGTGGAGCCGCTGGCTGGGTTCAAACTGCTGACCTTTAGGTTAGCAGTTGAGCAGTTAACCATTGCTCCACCAGGGCTCCTTATGGAGATGATAGGGGCAATTAAAATCCCCCTAAGCCACCTGTTTGCAACAGCTTAACACGAGGAGTTGTGTAAGGAAGATATAGAAGATTTTGTGATGAATAAAATAATTCCCTGCCCTCCAGAGGCAAACCTTCCATGGCATCCCTTGTGTGTCCGTCCTGTTACGTTCTGATTTTTACCACGCGAAGTGCCAACACATGCAGTTTCCATCCACCCAGACTGGCAGCAAATGCAACCTTTGGAGTGGGGGTGGGGGAGGAGACCTGCTGTCACGCTGCTCAAGGACAGAGGCCGGAGCTGTCATGGGGAGGGCTGTTGTCAGCCAGCAACAGTTCCAGAAACTTAGCTTATGTCCTTTTCTTGGAACACCTTTCCTCCAGCAGTGTTTGCCTCAGCCGCCGCTATCCTGCCTAAAACCCCTCAATGTCTCCCATCCCTGGCAAGATGACGTCCAAATGACTCTGACTCATGGCAAGCCCATTGTGTTAGAGAAAAACTGCGCTCCATAGGGTTTTCAATGGCTGATCTTTCAGAAGTAGATTGCCAGGCCTTTCTTCCAAGGTGCCTCTGGGCAGATTCGAACCTCCAAACTTTTGTTTAGCAGCCGAGTGCATTAACAGTTTGCACCACCCAGAGACTCCCCAAATGCCTTAGCTTGACTCTCTAACCCCTTCACAGTCTTGCCCCTGCAGAACTCTCCAGCCTCCGGCACCGCCCTATACCCTAGGCACTCTAAGAATTTGGTAAGTTCTTGAAGAAGACATGATCTCTCTCCCTCCTTCCCCTGTCTCATGTTTTGTCTTTTCCCCACCCCACCTGTCTTGCTTATCTGCCTCGAGTTCTCCTTGCTCGAGGATTCAGAGCATGCATCACTTCCTCCAGGGAGGCGTCCCTGATGCCCCCAATCTGAGTTAGATGCCCTCCTGTGCACTTATGTTGATCAGAATTCCTACCACAAGCCCTGGTTTGTTGTTGTTGGGTGCCGTAGAGTTGATTCCAACTCATGGTGACCCCAGGTGTGCAGAGTAGAACTTCTCCATAGGGTTTTCAAGGCTGTGACCTTTTGGAAGCAGTTCGCCAGGCCTCTCTTCAAAGGCACCTCTGGGTGGGTTTGAACTTACAACCTTTCAGCAAGTGCTTAACCGTTTGCACCACCCAGGACTCCCAGGAGCCTGGGACTGATCGGAGCTCCTTCTCCTGTGACGCGACATTCTATCAGTTCAAGTCCCTTCTGGTGCTGGGATCAGTGGAGCTTCTAAATATACCACTACCACGTGACTCCTCATATCTAATTTGCCTTCTGAGCATGGGACAGTGCCTAGCACATAGTAGACAAAACTGAACTCATTGCCATCGAGTTGATTCTGACTCATAGCGACCCTCTAGGGCAGAGTAGAACTGCCCCATAGTATTTCCAAGGAGCAGCTGGTGGATTTGAACTGCTGACCTTTTAGTTAGCAGCCAAGCTCTTAACCACTGTGCCACCAGGGCTCCAGCACAGAGTAGGTGTATGTGCTCAAAAAAATATTAAGAAGAGGGAGATAAGGAGAGTAGAAGGAAGTAAGAGAGGAAGGGAAGAAAGAGAAAGGGGAGGAAGCAGAAAGGAGAAGTGGATCTTGAGCTAATATCTGTCTGTGGCTACTGCAGCCAAACCTGGCATTCTCTCAACCCAAGGTAAATTTTATTCAGCAAGCCTAACGTAGCACAAGTTTTTGGGGCATACTGAAGTGTTTTCTGAATTATTAACTGCCTATTGGAATCCAAATATTTAATGTCAAGGTATTTTCTTGCATTCTGAGTCGTGAAAACGTGTCATCCTTTAGTGCTATGAATAATGATAGCAGGTTCAAGCGTATTTGATGAATAAGGTTCCTCCCTCGCATCCACTCCTGCCCCACCCCCTAAACATGATAGATAACCCAGCTGATTCTGAGGGATTTGCCTCATGATGAATGTTGTTGTTAGGTGCTGTCGAATTGTCTCCGACTCAAAGCGACCATTTGTACAACAGAATGAAGCATTGCCCAGTCCTGCGCCATCCTCACAATCGTTGCTATGTTTGAGCCCATTGTTGCAGCCACTGTGTCAGTCCATCTCATTGAGGGTCTTCCTCTTTTTTGCTGACCCTCTACTTTACCAGGCATGATGTCCTTCTCCAGAGATTGGTCCCTCCTGATAACATGTCCAAAGTAAATGAGATGAAGTCTCGCCATCCTCACTTCTAAGGAACATTCTGGGTCCTTTCATCTTAGATTAACATGTACATTATACTTAGCAATCAACCAGCAATTTCTGCATCAAAGAAAAAAGAGCCATGTCATACCCTCAACATGTAGCCCAGTGCCGACACTTAACTGTCATTCATTAAATGGTTATTGATGACGGAATGTGTGGCTAATTGCCTCCATGAACAACTGCCTCCTTTGCCATGAGATCAGAAGAACTGGACGGTGCCTGGCTACCATTACTGAACATTTTGATCAAAGATTCTATAAAAGAATCCTGATCAAAAGAGGGAAAATGCAAAACAGAATTTCAAATTCTCACGGACTCCAGACTTTCCAGAGCCATGGAGGCTGGATGTACCCCTGAAAACTATTGCCCTGAGATAATCTTTAAACTTTCAACCAAAAATAGCCCCTGAAGTCTTCTTAAAACCAAACAACAGCTTAGCTTAACTAGTAAAAAAAAAATGTCTGCCTTAAGCATTATGCCCTTTTAACAACTACCTGTATGGGATCAAATTGACAACAGCAACTAATAAGATTAGCTAGAAACCGTAGGGGGCAGTGAGTTTATGTTAACGGGGGAGGAACAACTCAGCAAAGGAGGGTGAGAATGGTTGCACAACTCAAAGGATGTAATCAACATCACTGAATTGTATGTGTAAAAACTGTTGAGTTGGTATATGTTTTGCTGTGTATATTCTCAACAACAACAAACGAAATAAAGTTTTTTAAAATGCTCATTAATGAAGGGAGTGATGGAGGTGTTAAAGGTGACTCTTCTAATCTGCAACATTTGAGTGTGCAATGAGTCTCCTGTATAGGGAAGACCTTGCCATAAATGTACCTTCAAAACCCAATCTATCAACAAATCTGCGTGCACTGTGACTACAGGAAGGGTCAGCACGTCTTGGTCACCTTCTCATCTATGCCTACCTCACCCCCAGTTCCTAGCCTGGGGCATGGCATAGCAGGTCTTCAGAAATGTGTGCTGCCTGAAAAAAATAAAAGAAAGGCTGTATGGAAAGGGAAGAGGCCCCAGATAAGTAAAGCATTACTCAAGAGGAAGAACAAAGTGGGGGGCCTCACACTACCTGATTTTAGAACCTATTATACCACCAAGGTAGTCAAAACAGCCT